TGTGGTAGAGAACCTGCTTTACCACAGTTAATAACACTGGATACTATCAATCTTTTAAACATTTGTTAGTATTTTCATAAGATGGAAACAATCTTGTTAAGCGTGGATATCTTTATCAGTGAGAATGACTATTCTGTCTTTCTATTATTTAAGATATAAGTGTAATTAGGTTAACATTTTGGATAGAAGACTGAAAGACTGGAAAGAGAAGAAAATTAATATTCCTGCTGAAGAATAAAGGAGCATTTTAGGAAGGAAAATACTTTCCCAACTTTGATATAAACTATATTCATGCCTAAGGCACATTATGGAGTGAGAACATTTAAAATCATGCCTAAAGCTAACCCAATTATATCAGCTGTTTCAAAACAGTTAGTGAAGATAATTCTTGGTCCTATTTGATAAAATTTCTGATACATAAGATTTGTAACCATCAAAGAATAAGCTCCCTCCTCCATATCTTGGTTTCTAAATGTCACTGCCCATTAAAAGAAACCAGGGCTATTTGGAGAAGTGACTGATTTCCAGGACTGGAGGAAGGACAACCTGGAGCATCTTGTGCTCTAAAAAAAGGGGGTATGTCAAAAGGACACAGGAAGCAACTGGAAAAAGCACCCAGAGGCTAAAACTGAAACAACTTGAGCAAGAAAAGAAATAATGTTAAATTATATCCCATAGGACAAAATAAATATCCTAAGTCCAATTGATAAACATAAATGATTGAATAAAGTATTATAGTTAAGATTTGGGGGATAAGGACCAACTCTTCCTTTCAGAAGAGTAACAGTTATAAATGTAGGATTGAGGAAAATACAAAATCCCCATTAAAATACCACAGTGGTAACTGTTGCTTACAAGATCTATCAATGGATGTCAGAATCAGCGGGCAAAAGTTTGTAGAGAAGATGTTTATCAATTACAAAGGGAAAAATAGTAACTTTACAGTAGGGAAACCCAGCAGATAACCAACCATGAGATGGTAAACAAGAACGTCATCACCTGAAATGAAACAAGAAGAAATATTTCACCTTGTCTTCTTCCAAACCTGTACCTTCAGTTTGATCATGAGAAAAATATTGGGGAAAAAAACTGAGGGGCATTCTACAAAATAGCTGTCAAGTATTCATCAAAGGAGCTCATAAAAGAGAAGGAAAAACATTGGAACTGTCACAGATGGGAGGAGACTAAGGTGCAGAAACTAAATGCACTATGGAATTTGAATTATATCCTGGAACATAAAAAGGACATTAGAAGGGGACATGGTGAAATTAGAAGTTTAATTAATAGCATTGTTATCAAGCTGGGTATAGTGGCACATGTGTGTTAATACTCTGGCAGCTAAGGAAGGGGGATTGCAAGATCGAGGTCAGCCTGGGCAACTCAGTTAGGATCCCAGTCCCAAAATAAAACAATACAAAACAAACCACATCCTGCTGCTTGTGTCTGCTCAGACTTGAATTCTGTTCAGAATTTCCTTTAATACTGTACTGCTCTTCATCTTAAATCACATGCTTACACCAAAATGATGAAATATTTTCAAAACAGTTAGCATTCTACATCTCTGAATTTATTGACTTCACTGTTTTCATTCAGAAAATAATTCTCACCTACGCAAGCTACTGATTTATGTAAAGAGAAATAAAATGGAAATCTAACCAGAAATCTGGAGTCTTTCTCAACTCTGCCATAAGTTTCAGTTATAAAATTGCTAGCAACTTACTCTCCTGGGGCTTAATTTTCCACATCTATAAGACAGAATTTGAAAAAGATAATTTGTCTTTCTGTTTTGAAAGTCTGTGCTTTCTTGGAATGTCACATTTAATTAAGATGATACCTTTAAGTCAAGGAGTGCCTCACCAATATGCTTCTACTCTAGTGTCCAGCAAAGTTCTAGCACATGGCACAGCTCTGTAGATGCTTGACAAATTAATGATGCACATGCAAAGGTTATTACATGACATCAAGTACCATGCAAATGTTAGTCACTGTTTTGTTAATGTGGAGATCGACTCTTATTTTGCTTCTTTTGCACGTCCAGAGAGATATTAAAACAGAGAAAAACACTCATTGAAGGCATCTACTTATTTGGTCATCCCGGGTCTTTGTTGTCCTAGGAATCAGTTTGAAGCTATTCAGTACTGGACTGAACAGAGTGATTAGGTGAGAAATCCTATTTTAATGTCTCTGACCAGTCCGTCCCACTTTCCTTCATGCAAGAGTATACAGATTTTTATTTAATTTATTTATTTTTGGTACCAGGGAGCTTAACCACTCAGCAACATCCCCAGCTCTTTATTTTAAGACAGGGTCTAGCTAAGTTGCTAAGGCTGGCTTTGAATATGGCGATCTTCCTGCCTCAGCCTCCAGACTTGCTGGGATTACAGGCGTGGGCCACCTCGACCAGCAAAAGTTGATTTTTCAAAAAGTGGTAAAATGACTGTTTATGGGTATTGGAAGATGAGGAAAATGTCATAAAAATTAAGTATTCCATTTCACTGATGTTAGGTAATGGCAACTAGGATTGAAATTTTAAAAGCAGCAAGCTGCCATTTCCAAATACATATTGCAGTTACGGGTGAGGGGAGACTCATTGCGTGTCCATCCAGGCATTGGAGTTCTGGGGAAGAGTATATGGAAAGAGAACTGATGTTATTTTTTCAAGAATGCCCTATATGCCAGTTATATATAAACTACCTCCCCGCATTCTAACATCTATAAATTCTGTGGGATGGAATTGAGCATCTGTTGGTAGCCAACTGCTTTTGTCTGTTAAATGCATTTAGCTCTCATTTTTAAAAGATATCCCAAACATATCAGTAACTATGATAAATACAAATACCCAAATACAAAAATTTTAAAGCTTTTCTCACATACTTGAAAAGAATGTATTCTACTTTTGTTGGCAGTAGTTGTTTTGGGAAATACTATCTTTCACTAACTAGAATAAAACTCACTAATTATCCAAAGTTAGCAATCTCTGAGCTAGTTTCTCTTTTCTCTCCTCCTGGCAATTTGATGTAAATTTTTTTTTTAAAATTCTTTCATATTTTATTTTGCTTCTCTCTGCTGCATATGGGTAATTTTTTTAAAAAACATATTTTTAGTTGCATAAGAACACCTTTATTTTATTTTTATGTGTTGCTAAAGATCAAACCTAGTGCCTCAGTAGTGCTAGGCAAGTGCTTTAACACTGAGATACAGCCCCAGCCCGCGTATGGTAATTTCTTTAGAACAGTTTCATAGTGACTAATCTATCAACAATTTTTTTTTTTTTTAAAGCAGGGGAATTAATCCAGGGTGCTTAACCAAAAATGCCCAGCCCTTTTTGAAACAGGGTCTCAAAGAGTTTCTAAGGGCCTTGCTAAATTGCTGAGGCTGGCTTTGAACTCGCGATCCTCTACCTCAGCCTCTCGAGTTGCTAGGCTTACAGGCATGCACTACCAAGCCCGGCTGCTTGGTTACTTTTAAAGTGTCTTGCTCAATATTTTTTCTTACGCATATTTTACATTCTGAATTTGTAATTCAGAGGCCTTATGATTCTGTTGTATGGTTTCTGCTGGTGCACATTCATGGTGTTTTGTTTTCTAATTTGTAGCCTGCAGTATCGTAAATTATTTTGCATGATTCTTGTTGACTTGTACCAGGGTCCTGGACATTGCTAGCTTGGGACCAATGTAAACTAAATCTTGTTTTGTGATTTTTTTATTTTTTAAAAGAATCTTCAATCCTTTCAGTTGTATGAAAATAGAATCACAATGCTGAGCACCATTATGGAAAATAGTCATAGTTTAACATGAAAATACTAGAAGAGATTAGAATAAGCCCTTTTTTTTTCCTAGAAGTTTATCTGTTTATACTGACCTAGTCTTATGTAAGGGTAATTTGGTGTGAAATAAAATACATGCAATTACTTATATTATATATAAATATACATATATATTCTATGCATATGAATGTCTACAAATCATCTCAAATGTTACAACAGCCCTACAATGATTTTGATGTTTGAGCATGTCCTCTAAAGGTTCATATATTAGAGAGTTGGTCCTCAATGTAGAAGCAGTAGACCTTTAAGAAGTGGGGCCTGGCTGGGCACAGTTGCACACACCTGTAATCACAGCAACTTGGGAGCTCAGGCAGAAAGATACCAAGTTCAAAGCCAGGCTAAGTGATTTAGCGAGGCCATAAGTAACTTAGCAAGACCCTGTCTCAAAATAAAAATAAGGGCTGGGGATGTAGCTCTGTGTTTAAGTGCCCCTAGGTTAAATCTCTGATTTTAAAAAAGTGGGACCTAGTAAGTAGGTCATTAGGGACATGCCCTCTGAAGGGACTATTCTCTCTCACTTCTTACTTCAAGATCTCATGTCTTGAGGCTGGGGATGTGGCTCAAGTGGTAACATGCTCGCTTGGTATGTGCGGGGCGCTGGGTTCGATCCTCAGCACCACATAAAATAAAATAAAGATGTTGTGTCCGCTGAAAACTGAAAAATAAATATTAAAAAAAAAAATTCTCTCTTAAAAAAAAAAAAAAGATCTCATGTCTTCCTCCCATCTTTACTCCTGCCCTTTCTGATGAGGCCCCTGTCAGAGCTCACACTATGTTGTGTGAACTTCCAATTTCTAAAGTGATGAGCTAAACAAACCTTTTTTTTTCCTTTATAAAGTTAGCCTGTTTCAGTTATTGTATCATACCAACAAAAACAATATAATGTAAGCAATTTGATGTCATCAAATATATGGCTCATAAATGAATTGTATTTCAAAGTACAGTCACTGAATAAAAATAAAAATGTTTGGGGGAAATTGTCTAAAGTTACTATTAATTCTCAGATATTCTTTTGAATCTATGAATGCTAGTGATTTTTTTTTCCATACAAGGATATTTTTCAGGTACTGTCATATTTCAAAAAAAAATCTATTTTTAAACCAGTCAAATCAGATGAAATTTTTAGTAAAATTATTTTATTTAGTTATAATATCCATCTCCAACAGCTTGAAATAAAAATTTCCACTGTCTTAATTAAACTGTATGTTATTTTCTTTTAGAATGTCCCTTTTTTCTTTAAAATAATTTCGAAACCATTCTATGTGCTCAACCTTCTGTTTAACACTCAGATATGGGTTTTTGGAAAGGCCACAAGTCACCAGCTCCATGAAGTGGCGAATTGGTCCTTGTTTTGGAAAACCCTCCAGGTGTTTATCCAAAAATATATGTTCATGAAATTCTGAACCATCATCATCAAAACCTAGGAAAATAAGACATAAAATATAGTTAAATGCATAAACTTGGGAGTCAGACCAAGGTTTACCCACCAATTTAACCACTGTGACTTTAGGCAAATTAATTAACTTCAATTTCAATTGACCATCAATTTCCTCAGGTAAATACAATTAAAAGAGTACCTTCTTAGGGTTTTTGGTAAAGATTAAACAGACACACACAATGCCTAGAATACAGCAAATGTTCAAAGTACAGAAACAATTATTATTAATATTTTAATATCAAGAGCAACCACTAAGAAAATTATACAAACTATATTTTAAAATATGTAAATAAAACAAGAAGAAATCACAAAAAAAAGTTCAGGCAGCCCACAAAAAGCAAAGAAACTAGGGCAAGTTAGAAATCCCATTTCACTATGAAAAAGGCTGGGACGGGGATAGAAATGTAGCTCAGTAGTAACATGCCATTGGGTTCAATCTCTGGTACAGGGAAGAGAAAAAGAGGGAGGGAGAAAGAAGATAAATAGGAATGAGAAATAGGGAAAATGAACCAAAAACAAATAATAAAATAGGACAGACTTAAGTCCTAACAAACCAACAATTATGTTGTAGGTAAATGGTCTAAATATACCATAAAATAGAGATTGGCACAGTGTACATAAAAATATGATCCAAGTATATGCTATCTATTACAACATCATATGTCAGGAACTGCAGAGCAACTGAATATCTTATTAAATTCTCACACTCTTCCAGTGAGGTATCCTTAATTTTGCAGATGAGGAAACTGAGGACCAGAAAGTTAAATAATTTCCTGAAAGGCAAATGGCTATTAACTGATAGCTCATGTTTGTACTCAGGTTTGCACAAATAAAAAGTCTTTGGTCTGTTTGTATTACCCTGATACACAAACCACAATACTTTAAGAAATACACAGTTTTCGGGGTTGGGGTTGTAGCTCAGTGTGGGAGCACTTGCCTAGCATGTGTGAGACACTGGGTTTGATCTTCAGTACCACATAAAAAATACATAAATAACATAAAGGTACTGTGTCCATCTACAACTAAAAATATTAAAAAACAAAAAAACACTGTTGCCAGGTACAGCAGTACATGCCTGTAATCCTAGCAAGAGGATCTCAAGTTTAAGAATCTCAAGTTCAAGTGAGACTGTCTCAAAAAAATAAGAGGGGCTGGGGAAGTAACTCAGTGGTACAGCACCCCTGGGTTAAATCCCCAGTACCAAAAAAAAAAAAAAAAACCAGACAAAATGCAGCATGCTACACTACTGCATATATACCATGTGAATACTCCTTAAGAGTCTGCTGAAGGATCTTTTAAGTTTCTAAAGTTTTCCTATAGAAAGCAGTATTTTATAATGATTTAAGTCAATTTCTTTTTTTTTTTTTTCGTTTTTAGGTAGACACAATATCTTATTTTACATTTATATGGTTCTGAGGATCGAACTCAGTGCCTCATGAATGCTAGGCGAGCACTCTTCCACTGAGCCACAAACCCCAGCCAATATATAAGTCAATTTCTAATGCTTAAGTATTCATCCTACTTATTAATCAGAAAAAATATAAAATGAAAGAATATAAAAGATTAAAATATTACACTGATATCATAATACCTCAAAGCTTAAAATATAGACTACATTTCCTGAATTAGGTGTCTGCAACTTCTAGCTAATCTTACCATAAGAATAAATGGACACCTTCCAATTGAAAATGCACCTAGAAAATTCAATGAGACTGTTTTAACTCATGACAACATGAGTGCCATAAAAGAAAAAACAGCATAGTGCAAGGAGGAAGATAAAACATCTTCAGAAAACACCCAGGAAAGTAAATAATATTCCATTACCAGTTCAAAGCGTTTACAGTATGCAAAGATTTCTAAAATTTCCTAATATTTCTGCTTTGAGCAGCTTTTAAGTGTACCTTGCAGTGGTTTTATGGATAAAAGACATGAACATAAAACTTTAAGAGTTGAAATGTTTTCCAAAATTGAACTGTAATCTCATAACCAGCAAAGAATGTCCTGCTTAGTAACTAGAAAGTATTACGTGTAGTTCTCAATCCTTTAATGCCACAGAAATTCATATCATTTTATGTGATCCTCAGAACCATATAAATGTAAAATAAGATATTGTGTCTACCTAAAAACTAAAAAATATTAAAAAAAAGAAAAAAAGAAATTGGGACTGGGGATGTGGCTCAAGTGGTAGCGCGCTCGCCTGGCATGAGTGCGGCCCGGGTTCGATCCTCAGCACCACATACAAACAAAGATGTTGTGTCCGCTGAAAACTAAAAATAAATATTAAAACAAAAAATTCTCTCTCTCTCTCTCTCTAAAAAAAAAAAAAAGAAAAAAGAAATTGATTTATATCATTATAAAATACTGCTTTCTATAGGAAAACTTTAGAAACTTAAAAAGATCTTTTACTTTTTTATTTTCCTTATCAAATACATAGAGTTAAATAAAATTCGAACACTTTTCAAAAACATTGTCAGATTTCTTCTAGGACACCATGAAGACATCTGCAGTGTTTCAGATTCATATAAACATCCAAATTCTAAAAATGAACATTTTCTAAACATGGTCTCAAATCAATGTTATAAACTTTTGAAATTAACACATACCTGCTTCATTGTCGACTGGGAATTCCCAGAGTTTCCCCTCCTTTGTCCACTGAATCATTTCTTCAAACCCGTTCTGATAGGGCTGTTCATTTACTGCAGCTAGTTGCTTAGCAAATTCCACATCCCAAATAGAAGGTGATGTCTCTGTATCATAAAAATATTTTAAGTAAGCACAAGTCAACATAAATGTATTTCTTCTTTAAAATGCTATAATCAATTCTGATTTGATAATATATTTTCAGACACTGATACTCACAACTAAACAGTATATAACAAAAGCGGAGAGCTAAAACTGCAATAAAAATTATAAAGATTATAACTACAATAATGGTAAGCTTTAATTTCTATATTACTACAATTCTGAACAATTACTGCTCTATTTCAAAGGAAAAAAGGAATTTGTGTTTTGTTCAAGGGTGTTTTCATGAATATTAATATATTTTATATATTATGTCTTTTTTGGGGGAGGGCAGTTCTAGGGATTAAACCCAGGGACATACTACTTCTGAGCTACATCTCCAGCTCTTTTTATTTTAAGACAGGATGTCACTAAGTGGCCCAGGCTGACCCCTGAATTTGGGATTCACCTGCCTCAGCCTCCTGACTTTCTGGGATTATGGGTGCATACTGCCATGCTTGGTCCTGATAGATGATTTTGATCTTTAAAGTCCAGCCTATTTTCAGTCTGACAAAATTTGTCACTAACGCATTACCATTATTAAAGACAAAAGAAGTTAAGGTAATAATAACGACAGAAGTACAAACGGATACTGAACACTCTATGCTATTTTTTTTTTTTTGGGGGGGAGGAGGTGGTACCAGGGATTGAACTCAGGGGCACTTGACCACTGAGTTCCACTGAGCCACATCCCCAGTCCTATTTTGGGCTTTGAACTTGTGATCCTCCTGCCTCAGCCTCCTGGGCTGCTGGGATTACAGGCATGCGCCACCACACCCAGCTAATGTTTTTTAGAGAGAGAGAATTTTTTAATATTTATTTTTTTTAGTTATCAGAGGACACAACATCTTTGTTTGTATGTGGTGCTGAGGATCGAACCCGGGCCGCATGCATGCCAGGCGAGCGCGCTACCACTTGAGCCACATCCCCAGCCCCAGCTAATGTTTTTTAAATACATAAATTAATTTAATACTAGTATCCTATGAGTAAGGTGGTATCAATGTTGATTCATTACCATTATCATGTTATATTCTTCAATCATTTACTTATTTTTAAAATTTAAGTCATCTTTCACTGTTGGTGGAAGAGTAAAATGGTATAAGCACTTTGGAAAAACTGCCTGTTTCTTAAAAAGTTAAGAATACTCAACAATTCAACATAGCCATTTCACTCCTAGATATTCACCTAAGAGAGAAAGGTAACAAATGTTCACATAAAGATTATACTAGAGGGCTGAGGTTATGGCTCAGAAGTAGAGCACTTGCCCAACGTGCGTGAGGCACTGGGTTTGATCCTCAGCACCAAATAAAGGTCTTGTGTCCACCTATAACTAAATAAAATAAATGTTAAAAAAAGATTATACTAGAAAGTTCATAGAAGCTTTATTTAAAACAGTCAAAACTGGCTTGTAATTGAGAAAGAACCCAAATGTCCCTACAGCTATACAGACACATACTACTCAGCAATAAAAACCAATTACTGATACACGCAACAGTGTGGATAAATCCCAAATAATTATGCTGAGTAAAAGAAGTCAGACCCAAGAGTACATGCTGTGTATTTTCACTTGAGATGCAAACTCATCTATAGTGTAACAGAAAGTAGCTCAATAGTTGCCTGAAGATTGGCACTGCTGTGCTTAATTTTTCTTTTAATTGCACCACATACCTCTGTGCATATTTATAATCCTTTCCTTAGAATAAATTTTGTTCCTAGGAAATTTCTGGCTGAAAGGCACGGATCACATAAGACTTATTCTGCTTTACTCACTTTTGCCGAGCCTCCTAAGCCATCCCAACAAGGAGCTCATTTAGAATGCCTAGGTAAGCCTTATTTTACCTATTCTGCTTTATTTTGAAGCTGCTCCTATGAGCCTGTATGTGCACAAACATGTCTACATCAACTGGTGGTATTAAATATAATGGTCTAGATCATCTGTTACAGACAAAAGATCACACCAGTTTGGCCCAATTAGACATATTTACAGAGTAATTGTAACAATGAAATAATTATCTTGGTTTTATTTATTTATTCAGTAGGCACTGATCAACCCATGCCCTTTTCATTACCATCACTGTATTATCCTTATATTTGTTAATAGTTACAACCATATTTTAAACATCTCCTGTGTTCCAGGTATTGTACCTGATACTTAGATCATCTCTTTTAATCCTCAAGATGTATGCACTAGCTCTTGTTGAGAGCCACAGTTTAGTCGGAATGACGCCTGGCATTTTGCTAGAGGGAATGGTTGAAAGGTGACCCTGCTCTATAGGCGGCTCTGAGATCAGGCGGTTCCTGCTGGGAATAGGGTGGCTCCGAGATTACAGAGGATCATGCTGCCTCGGGCACCCGCTACTTTGGAGTTCCCGTTGAGTTCTCCGGGGTTCCGTGAGAATTGGCGCATGAAGCCTGGTGGAGGGAGTGTATTCCCGGGAAGTGTGTGGACAGTGCAGGTGAGAGTTGGGGAATAAAGAGTTGCTGTTTGAACCTACAAGGTTTTATGGCGGCTCGGTTACTTTGTGCCCAGCCAGACTGCGGCAGCTCTCATTTTATAGGTGAGTAAATGGGACTCAGGGGATAGTATGGAAGAATATGAATTTGAATCTAATTCTACCCCAAACCAAGTCTCTTTCCAGTAAGATTTAGATTACTTTGAGATAACTAGTAGGACTCTCTGTCCTTTTGCTGCAGTGGTTAAGAATTTGATGGAAATTGTGGGAATCATGGGAGAGAAGAACTCATTATGTTAGTCAATAAATAATTACTGAATGCTAACTATACTGTAGGTATTACTTAGGCAGGTAAGGAAAGAGCCATGAACAACTGTTAAATTTAAGTTCCTATATTGATGCTATTCTTGTGTTAACTGAACAAAATATATTCTTTAGACTCATACAAGTATAGTTTAGTAGAACAGTATCTTCATTACAGTAAATTAATACATAATACTCCCAATTTTTTAAAGTACACTGGCTGTGATAATGCACACCTATAATCCCAGAGACTCAGGTGGCTGAGGCAGGAGGATCATAAGCTCAAGGATAGCTTACAGCAACTTAGTGAGAGCCTGTCTCAAAACTAAAAGTAAAAACAAAAATGACTGGTTATGTAGCTCAGTGGTAGAGAACTTGTTTATCATGTGTGAGATATTGAATACAAAAAAAAAAAAAAATATATATATACATATATATAAAGAAAGCTGACTCCTTTAAGATCCAAGTCTCTCTTGTGGCTGTTCATTAGGTGGACAACAGCAGCTCTCCTAACAACAAATTCCTCTTTGAGGCAAGCTTAACAGATGCCACTGGAGAATCTCTCTCCATGCCTGCATATTTAGCACTTCCTTTTCACCATATACAACAAAATGCAGGTTTTCACAATTTAAGAAGGGGGTTGTTCTATTGCTTCATCTTCAGTTCAGGTGAATGAACACTGGCTGCATCAACTTCCTTCCCCTATGGATATTTAGTTTTTGGCTCATTGTATTCAAAAAGGATTAAAGTGTTTTTTTGTTTTGATTTGTTTTGATTTTGTGGTACTGGGATTGAGCCCAGGTTCACTCAACTGAACTACAATCTAGCCCTTTTTAGTTTTTATTTTGAGACGAGGTCTCACTAAGCTGCTCAGACTGGCCCTGCACTTGGGATTCTCCTGGCTCAGTCACCCAAGTAGCTTGGATTATAGGTTTGTGCCACCATGACCTGCAGGATTTACAATTTAAGATAATTCCTAATATCTATAAACCACATGGCTAGGTGATTCAGGGTATACAAACATGAGTGAGACCTAGCCCCCAAAATCATGTTGACTGAATAGTGGAAAAATCAGATGTTTATATTAGTAAGTGGTAGTAAGATTAAATACAACATTGGAGGTTGGCCTAGGAGAACCTAACTTCATATACCTTACTTCTCCAAGATTCATGTTCATAAGCAGGAAACAACTTTTACTGAGTGTTTAAAAATTTATTTCATCAAGAAACCAAATTTAAAGTTAATTATTTCTTTTGATTAGATTTAAAATGGAGAATTTGAAGGCTTTGACATCTTACTCAAAGAACAGGGCAAGCACAGAACAAAGACTAACCAAGTTTTAAGAAAAAATACGGGGCTGGGGCTCGGTGGCAGACCGCTTGCATAGCATGTGTGAGGCATTGGGTTTGATTCTTAGCATTGCATACAAAAATAAATAAAATAAAGGTATAATCCCCATCTAGAACTACAAAAACAAACAAACAAAAAAACAACTCTGCTACATATATTCCCTGAATATATGTTCTTTCCATCTCTTGAACAGTCACTACCTCATTTCAGAAAGTTACTTCTATAAGTGTGATCTCCACTTTTAGACAGTAGGTTGCCCAAAAGCAAGAATCGCAACTCATCTTTTCTTTATGTAAGAGCACAGAGTTGCATTGCAAATAGTGGGTGCTGATTAATGATTTATGTGATACCAGTAGTCAATCCATATCTCTGGATTGTTCAACTGGTAGAACCAACTTCCTTCCCATGGCCCCACAGAATGTGCTGTTTTAAGGGGGAAATCTGACCAAAACTAGTAGTGTCAACAATTACATTCATAAGCATACATTCAAAAGCATGATCCAGAAAAATGACAGGAGAGAATATTAAAGTACCAACTATTATGTAATCAAAATTCTAAGAACATCTTTGAAAGACAAAAATGTTTCTCCATTTGAGGGCTGTTTATTTCTTTTTTAATTAATTTATTTATTTTTGCTGTTTATCTTTTTCTTTTTAATTTTTTTTTAATATCTATTTTTTAGTTTTCAGCGGACACAACGTCTTTGTTTGTATGTGGTACTGAGGGTCGAACCTGGGCCACACGCATGCCAGGCAAGCGTGCTACCGCTTGAGCCACATCCCCAGCCCCTGCTGTTTATTTCTTAACAAACCTGTTTCAGGTGCTTTTTCAGAAAATGTTTCAATGTCAAAAATATTAAGCCTCTTCCCCTTGAATAAATTTTTCCTAAGAGCAAAAACAGAAAAAAACATTTCTTAATGACTATATAAACTGTCAACAAAAACTGTTTATAAGAAGAAAACTTTTACTTGAAATATTCTATGTAGAAATGAAAAATAATTCCAATGAACCACATCAGCCATTATAGTTAAAATGCCATGCTGTTAGGACTGATAATGACATTTGAATTTTTGCTTCACAAATACAACAAACCATTTAAAATAGTTTAATTTTCAATTCACCTAATGGAAAAGATTGGTTTAATTCACCATAATTTTTATTTGATCCCTTCCATATAAAAGTGTAATAAGACCTAGTATTATGGAAAGCTACAAAAATACACTAAAATATAAGCTTCTAAAGTTTACATTGTTTTAACAGCAGAAAACAATGCAACGTTTAACTACAATTGTAGTTATAAAGTATTGCACAGCTAAATCAAAACATTCTCTTTTATTTATTTTTTTGGTGGGGGGGGTGTACCAGGGATTGAACTCAGGGGCATTTGACCACTGAGCAACATCCCCAGCCCTATTTTATATTTTATTAGAAACAAGGTCTCAGTGACTTGTTTAGCGCCTCACTAAATTGCTGAGGCTGGCTTTGAACTTTCAATCCTCCTGCCTCAGCCTCCTGAGCCGCTGAGATTAGAAGCGTGCGTTTGCTACTGCATCCGGCAACATTCTCTTTCATAAAGCAATCACTCTGATGTTTAAAATATTAACTTTCTTTATATAACTATTTTAATTAACTATTGAAATTAATGTCAGAGAGTTAACAGGTAACTTCTGGTACAATTTTAATCAACTGCTTTATGGATCAATTTACATATTTACTTGAATGAATATATTGGCAGATTAAAAACCAGTTTATAAACTGGAGAATTTGTTTTTAAAATAATTTGTAATACTTCTCTGGATCAAAATATTTTTCTCTACTAAACAAAGCTAACTGGAAAAAGTGTAAATAGTGTATTAAAATTAGAAGCGATCTCAAATCACATGTTTTCCTCTAGCATGATTCCAAATATTTTGTAAATAAATACCTTTATGCTCCAGAAAGAACTATCTTCAGTGCTTTGCATTCATTTTCCTACCCTACTTTCCCACAAGTGTATAACAAGCAAAAAGGATGATTAAATTCATGGTAAAGATGGAATGCATTGGCAAAGTATGGAAATTTAAGAGGAATCTACTAACATGGAAGGTGATGAACATTCGCTAAGTATCTACTATGTAATTGACAATTGATTCAAATTTCTCCTCTACTCCTCAAGAAAGTCATTTAAGCTACTTCACTTTGAGCATTTTATAGGAAATTAAGGTTATACAAGTTGCTCCAGTCATGGAATTAGTCTGTGGCAGTGCCAAGATTTTGAAGCAGGCCAGTATGACTCCAAAGCCAGTGCAGTGCACTGTACCTAATACCTCTCAGTCTATAACTCAAAGAATCAGCCCAGTCCTGGATTTTTATCTTTTATTTTGAGACAAGGTCTTTCTAAGTTACTTAGGATCTTGCTAAGTTGCTGAGCCTGGTCTTAAACTTTTGATCCTCCTGCTGCAGCTTCCTAAGGCATGCCCAGCTTTAGTCAGCTTTTTAATGCAGTCATTATATGCACAGAAACCCCTCCCTTACTTTCTTAAGCCTCTCCCTTGTTGTTTTCTAATTTTCAATGGCAGCTAATATTATTAAAAATCAAGTTATGATAAACCATTCAGTAGTAGTTACACAGAACCACGGAAAGAAGACTGATTCAATGAATTAGTAAGTCAAACCTCAAGTATTCAATAACATGTCACAGACATTAAATCACTTTAAATTAGTAATTCAAATATTCATCCAAAGTCACTTTTAACCGAACTTCCTCTGTTAAATGCTGACCACCTTTTTCAGTCTTCCAGTACAAATCGGTTGTTATGGACCAGGCTATATGGTCAATGACCAAACAGACTCCATTTTACCCTTAGACTCCATATCATGTAAGAAATGCTTCTCCCATGGGAAAGCCCTGCTTCTGTACCCATTAATAGTTACCTAGCATAACATATTTGGCAACACAAAATAGCAATTCTCATAAAATGAAAAATTGTTCTCTTTGGTTTCCATTTTTCTTGGGCAATATACCTTGTCAGTGATTGATTGTCTACATGTTAGAAACCATTCTCTAACTTGTACTTAACTAGGGTCATTTTGACCCACTTCCCTTCTGCTTGCTTGTTGCTATACCAACCTGGAAGTCCCATGGGAAATACCAATGTACCCACTGCACTGTCTCACTAACTGCCCAATTCAGCTTCTATACCTGCTTGCTTGCAGCTATGTTAACCCAGATGTGGTTTTTGCCTTTAAATATCCTAAAATGCTCAGGCTCAGGGCTGTTCCTTGCAGAGACAGTTATGGGTCTTGTGGGGAGCAGTTGCCGGCCGACGGGCTAAACAAAGACTCTTCAATTTCGACAAAACTGGAACTTGGTATGTTTTCTGAGTGACCTGCCCCACAACATGGTAATTTAGGATCTGGAAGGAGCTAAGTCAAATAAGTTCCTCAGATTCTATTTCAGACAAAATCCCTCAGAATATACAATGCATTGAAACTACTCCAATTTGAGAACATTCTGCTCCCTCCTTTTTTTTTTTTTTGGAGACAGGGTCTCTATAGTTTCCCAGGCTTATTTGGAACTTGTGACGGTCCTGCCTCCCAAGTGGTTGGTAAATAGGCATGTGCCACCACAACCAGTTCACACTTACTGTCAAAGACAAGTTAGTTTTTGTCAGATAATGCTAAATATCTGGTTCCCTCTCCCCAAATGTTGCTTTCTGGGCTTAAAGGAGAGAAAATACAGAAACTTTATGTAAATATAGAGCAGCTTTCAATTGTAAAATAACTATGCAGCTTATTTCAACACCATAAAAAGTTATAAATTAGCAAATTCAAGTTTCTATAAATATCTATCACTTTCTTTTTTTTTTTTTAATATGGGTTGTTTCTCTAAGATATGATGAAAGAGGACTATAGAGTGATAAAGGTATATAAACATCCAGTGTTAGAAACATTCAGAATGAAAAATAATGCTTCTTGTAAAACATTCATTTGTTCAGAATTCAGTCAGCTCCACTTACTCTAAATCAGGGGACCCCTATTTAACATGGGCAGCTCTGAGGCAAGACCCATTTTGCTTTATAGTACAAAAAAAGGTAGAACTGCTAAATGCACAAGATTTTTCCTCTCTAGGAAATAGCATCCAGAGAGTAATAAGATATAGGCAGAGTATCCATAATGCTCAAATAACTATCAGCAATTGCAATAACACAGAATAAAGTAAATTTACAGTTAATGTTAAAAAAAAAAAAAAATACCAACAAAATCCAATAGACTGGAAAGCCTGAATACCTTTTTTTAAGATCAGCTGTCTTCTCCTGGCTGAGAGAATGATCAGATCCTTCATCAAACTGAATCTGATGCTCTGGTCTTGTGCTAAGTCTAGCCGTAGCAGATTTGGCAATTTTCATATCTGATAATATATTACTGAAACAGAAATAAAAAAAAAAACAAAACACTTCATATTAAAGTTAGCTATACAACAGTAATAAATGTTTTTTAAATAGGAGAAAAATTCTTATTTCATTTTCATGCACTAATGAAGCATAAAATGTTAAATTTAAAAAGTTACATTTAATATTCACATACTATAGACCATTAAAATTTATGTTTACTACTTTTTTTTTTAATTGGAGATTGAACTCTGGAGGGCTTTATCACTGCACTTTTCATTTTGAGACAGGGGTTCACCAACTCACTGAGACTGGCTATAAACTTGCTATCCTCCTTGCCTCAGTCTCCCGAGCTGCTGGAATTACAAACGTGCACACTTTCATCCAGCTTACTTGTCTTTTGAAGGTGTTCTTTAAGGCTCTAAGCAATTCAGTGAGATCCTGTCTCTAAATAAAACACAAAAAGGGCTGGGGATGTGGCTCAGTGGTTAAACAACCCTGGGTTCAATCCCCAGTACAAAAAACAAAAAAGGAAGTGAAAGCTTCATTTAAAACAAATTGCCACGCAGTGGTGCACGCCTACAATCCCAGCAGCTTGGGAGGCTGAGGCAGGGGGACTGAGAGTTCATAGATAGCCTCAGCAAAAGCAAGGTGCTAAGCAACTCAGTCAGCCTCTGTCTCCAAATAAAATACAAAATAGGGCTGGGGATGTGGCTCAGTGTTCGAGTGCGCCCCTGAGTTGAATCCCTGGTAACAAAAAAAAAAAAAAAAAAAGAAAGAAAGACGAAAGAAAACATGTCTGTTCATTATCACATTATGTACAAAACCAGCAAATTAACTAAGTACATTTTCTGAAACTATTTTTTAAAAATTCTTTTTAGTTATATACAATACCAGGAAATATCCTGACATACTCACAAAAACATGGAACACAACCCACTCTAATTTAGTTCTCAATCCCTCTTCAATCTATTTACTTTTTTAAAATTAGTGCCTGTGGATACATCTGATGGTGGGAACCACCATGCCATATCATGCATTCACATACAAAAATTCAGTATCATTCTACGGTTCTTTCCTTTTCCAGTTCCTTCTTCCTCCTCAATCCCCTACTCTACTGATCTTGTCTCTGTTTTGGTGTGAAATTTCCTGTTCCTTTTTCCCTTTCTTCTTTTTCTTTTTACCCCCACCTCCACCCCAAATTTTGGATCAAACTTTGATTTTTAGGACTGGCTTATTTCACTTAGCATGATAGTATCCAGTTCATTCCAATTACCAGCAAATGCCATAATTTCATTCTTCTTTGTGGTTGGAGTAATACTCTAATGTGTATACATTCCACATTTTCTTTATTCATTTATCTACTGAAGGGCACCTAGATGGGCTTCATAGTTTTGGTATTGTGAATTGTGCTGCTACTGATGTGGCTGCATCACTGTAGTATACTGATTTTAAATCTTTTGGATATATGCTGAAGAGTGGGATAGCTGAGTCATATGTGGATCCATTCTTAGTTTTTTAAGGATTCTCTATACTGCTTTCCATAGTGGTTGCACTAACTTGTAGTCTCAGCAAAAATGATTGTACCTTTTCCCCTCATCCTTACCAACATTTATTATTATTTGTAGTCTTGACAACTGCCACCCTGACTGGAGTGAGATGACATCTCAATGTAGTTTTAATTTAAATTTCTCTAATTGCTAGAGATGAACATTTTTTTCATATATTTGTTGACCATTTGTATTTCTTCTTTTGAGAAGTGTCTGTTTAGTTATTTTTGCCCACTTCCTGGGTTTTTTGTTTTTGTATTAAAATTTTTGAGGGACTGGGTTGTGGCTCAGTGGTACATAAATAAAATAAAATTATTAAAAATTGTATAGTATTAAAAATTTTTTTGAGTTATTTGTGTACTCTATATATTAATGCTCTTGAGAAACAGGTGGCAAAGATCTTCTCCCATTCTGTAGGCTCTCTCTTTACACTCATATTTCCTTTGCTGTGCAGAAGTTTTTCAATTTGATACCATTCCACTTATTGATTTGATTTTATTTCTTGCACTTTAGGAGTCTTGTTAAGGAGGTCAATTCCTGTGCTGACACGCTGGCGTGTTGGACCTACATTTTCTTCTAGGAACTACAAGGTCTAATTCCTAGGTCTTCAATCCACTTTGAGTTGACTTTTGCATAGGGTGTGAGACATGGGTTTCATTCTACTACAATGGATTTCCAGTTTTCCCAGCACCATTTGTTAAAAAAGCTATTTTTTCTCCAAAATATTTTTGGCACCTTTGACGTTTTGTTTCTGTGTCTTCTATTCTATTCCATTGGTCTTCCTGCCTGTTTTGGTGGCAGTACCATGCTGCTTTTGTTACCATAGCTCTGTAATATGAGATCCAATATTGCAATGCCTCCTGCTTCACTCTTCATACTAAGGATTTCTTTGGCTATTCTGGGTTCTTATTTTTCTAAATGAATTTCAGAATTGCTTTTTCCAGTTCTGTGAAGAATGTCATTGGAATTTTGATAGTGACTGTGTTGAATCTGTACAGTGCTTCTGGTATGGCCATTTTGACAATATTAATTCTGCCTATCCAAGAACCTGAGATGTCTTTCCATCTTCTAAAGTCTTCTTCAATTTCTTTTTTTAGTGGTCTATAGTTTTCATTATAGAGATCTTTTGCCTCAGAGAAACTATTTTATTTTTATTTTTTAATTCTTCTTTGCCATTCTACTATTTATTTTTAATAACATTACTGAATTTACCATTTCTTTTTCAGGGGCATAAAATGTGTAACTTCCTTAAAGGAAAGTTTCACTACTCAATTTATTTTTTATAAACTAAATCTTACTCAGATTGGGGTTGTAGCTCAGTGGTAGTGCTCGTGCCTAGCATGTGTGGAGGCACTGGGTTTGATCCTCACCACCACATAAAAAATAAATAAAGGCATTGTTTGTACACAACCAAAGATATGAAAAATTGTGCACTATGTGTAATATGACTTGTAATGCATTCTGCTGTCATATATGATAAAATTTTAAAAAAGGCATTGTGTCCATGTACAACTAAAGAAAATATTAAAAAACAAAACTAAATCTTACTTAAGACATAGTTTTTTTTAAAAAAAAATCACTAAAATTCTATTTACAAGGTATATTTTATATATGCATATTACATCAGTCATTTTGACTTTTTCTCTTGCAGTGGGTGCTAGGGATTGAACCCATGGATTCATCCATGACAGTCAAGCATTCTACCACCAGGCCACATCCCCAGACACATTTTTTGAGATTACTATAGCATTACTATTCATCATTCAATAGCATTACTATTCATCTCACTCCAGTCAGAATGGCAGCTATAATGAAGACAAACAACAATAAGTGTTGGCGAGGATGTGGGGAAAAAGGTACACTCATACATTGCTTGTGGGACTGCAAATTGATGCAGCCAATATGGAAAGCAGTATGGAGATTCCTTGGAAAACGGGGAATGGAACCACCATTTGACCCAGCTATCCCTCTCCTTGGACAATACCCAAAGGACTTAAAAACAGCATACTACAGGGACACAGCCACATCAATGTTTATAGCAGCACAATTCACAATAGGTAAACTGTGGAGCCAACCTAGATGTCCTTCAGTGGATGAATGGATAAGAAAATGTGGTATATATACACAATGGAATTTTACTCAGCAATGAAAGAGAATAAAATCATGGCATTTGCAGGTAAATGGATGATGTTGGAGAAGATAATGCTAAGTTTAGTTAGCCAAGCTCCCCCCCCCCCCCCCCCCAAAAAAAAGGCTGAATGTTTTCTCTGATATAAGGAGGCTGACTCATAGTGGGTTAGGGAGGGAAAACATGGGAGAAATAGATGAATTCTAGATAGGGAAGAGGGGAGGGAGGGAAAGGGAGAGGGCAGAGGATTAGCAAGGATGGTGTAATGTGATGGACATCATTATCCAAAGTACATGTATGAAGACACGAATTGGGTGTCAACATACTTTATATACAGAGATATGAAAAATTGTGGTATATATGTGTAATAAAAATTGTAATGCAAAAAAAAGTATAAAGTCATGAATTGGTGTGAACATACTTTATATACAAAGATATGAAAAACTGTGCTATATATGAGTAATAAGAATTGTAATGCATTTCGATGTTGTGTATTTAAAAAAATAAAATCAATTTAAAAAAAGAGAGATATAAGCATTACTGACACAAATGATCCACTAACCTAATTTTAGTCTTTTCTCTATCCTTCTGTGCCCTTGAGTCTTCCTCATGCTGACGGAGCTGTCTAAGCAGTTCTGACTTGGTTGTCTGCTTGTCAAAAGGCAGAGAATCTGCCACAGCAGATGCAGCTTCCACCAACTCAGGACTCAGGGAATCATTTCTGAAAAAGAAAATGAAAAAGGAAGAATTACTTATGCCACTAATTTTGTGAAAAGTGAAATGATTTGGAAAGGAAAACTTGTCATTCAAAAAAATACCACTCAATTCAATTTCTAAGAATTTTTAAACATTAGATAGTGGTTTTCTATAAACTTTGAAAAACTAAAATTTTAACAGATACTTCCTGAATTAGGATACTAACTCAAACCTCAAAAATTTTAAATTAATGGAATTTTTAACTAAATGTCATTTCATTTCAAATATATACATGCTGCAAGAAAATTAAAAAGTGACTAAATCTGTCATAGAAGCTCTACTCATAATAGGCCAAAACTGTACCAAACCTGAAGGTCCACCATCAGGAAAATGGATAAAAAAATTGTGAGCTACCCATACAATGTGATAATACTTGGCTCCCATCAATAATGTGAGTGAATTTCAGAGACATGAGAACAAAGGAAAGAAATATCAAGTTCAACAGGCAAAACTAATTGGATTTGAAAAATAAACAGAACAGCGGTTGCCTCAGAACAAAAGCCTTCTGATTAGGAAAACAAAAATGAAAAACTTTCTGTATTTTGATAAATATGTGGGTTACATGGGTTTACCCATCTGTTAAAATCCTGCTGATAAGATCTGTACACTTCGACATATATAAATTTTACCTGGCGGGGGGCGGGGGGGGTGGGGGAAGCCATAAGTCATCATCATTGAGCAGGAGATAACAGATGATTCAAGAATGGTAAATGACAAGTACACAGAGGTTCATTATACAATTTTGTTTCCTTTGCATATGTCTTAAGTTTTCCATAAGAAAAAAGCTTAAAATTAAAACATCTGGCCAGGAACAATGGCGCACTCTTGTAATCTCAGCTACTAGGGAGACTGAGGCAGGACTGCAAATTTGAGGTCAATCCCAACAACCTAGTGAGATTGTCTTAAATAGTTTGGGGTTTAGCTCAGTGGTATAGTATCAAGGATTTAATCCCCAGAACTGTAAAACATAAATAAATTAAAAAAAAAACCTACTGCTGGGTGGGTGTGGTGGCACTCTTCTTATAATAGCAGCAGCACAGAAGCCCAAAGCAAGAGGATATCAAGTTCTAAGCCAACCCCAGTAACTCAGTGAGGCCTTAAGCAATTTAGCAAGACCCTGTCTTTTATAAAGGGCTGGGGATATGGTTAACTGCCCCTGGGTTCAATCCCTAATACACAAACAAAGAGCCCTACTGAGCCTAGAGTTGGAAGCTCAGTGATAGAGCACTTGCCTATCATGTGCAAGTATACTCCTAAGTAAACTGGAGTAAGTTAATAGAAAAAATATGTAAGAAGAAATTATTTACCAGTTTTTGTTTTCTTGGGGGGGTGGGTACTGGAAATTGAACTCAGGGGTACTGAACCACTGAGCCACACCTATTTTGTATTTTATTTAGAGATAGGTTCTATTGAGTTGCTTAGTGTCCTACAGTTGTGGAAGCTGGCTTTGAACTCAAGATCCTCCAGTCTCAGCCCAGATCCACTAGGATTATAGCCATGCACCACTTTTTTAAACTCTCTGAGAATTACCTCAATGAATGAGATCCAAATTAATATATTTAAGTGGCTTTCTATATTCTGCTATTTAATATGCAAATTAAAGAAACCCAAAGCTTGCAGGATAAAGATTATAAGAATTTTACTATGATATGGAAGATCTTATAGGAAGAGGAAAACAAAATATAACAATTAGTTAAAAAAAAGAAATGTGCTTTCAAAACTGTGATCTATGAACAAGCTTAAGTCTCATCCCATGTTGCTGTATTTGTTTTTTCAGCAGTACTGGAGATTGAACACAATGGCACTTTACTACTAAGCTCCATCTCCAGCCCCCTTTAAAAAATATTTATTTTTTAGTTGTAGTTGAACATAATACCTTTAATTAATTTATTTATTTTTATGTGGCTCTGAGGATCAAACCCAGGGCCTCACACGTGCTAAGTAAGCGCTCTACCACTAAGCCACAGCCCCAGACCCCTTTTTTATCTTTTATTCTGAGACAGGGTCTCCTAAGTTGCCCAGGTTGGGCTCAAACTTGTGATCCTACTGCCTCAGCCTCCCAAAGATGGTGGGATCACTGCACCCAGCCCACAGCATCTTGATACTGGTGAAAATAATCTAAATTTCAAGCAGGAGATCAATTAATAATAGTTGAAGCCTTCTTACTGGATGATTAGGGCAGGAAGTTCCTTGATTGTAAGAATGTTAAATCAGAAACTAGAAATTTTGGTCATTACTATAACCACCAGATGTAAGTTAGGTGTCACCAAACATTGAGACCCACAGATATTCATGGCCTATCCATTAAGAAGATAAAAGAGAGGGCTGGGGTTGTGGCTCAATGGTAGAGGACTGCCTAGCAAGTATGAGGCACTGGGTTTGATTCTCAGCACTGCATATAAATAAATGAATAAAATAAAGCTCCATCAACATCTTAAAAAAATTAAAAGAAGATAAAAGATAGAACCACAGCAGGCTGGCACAGTGGTGCATTACAAATCCCGGTGGTGCAGCTGGCTGAAGCAAGAGGATCACAAGTTCAAAAAAAAAAAGAGAGAGAGAGAGAAAGATCTGCATCACATAGGCCAGGGAGCTGCCTGGCTTAGTGCCCCACAACAATCAACAGCTCTTAAAAACAAGGCCATAAGCTGTTTCCAGGGTTGCTGCAAAGGACAGGCAGTGATGAGAAAAAGCTCTCAGGGAAGCCCTAAGGATGGTGGCCTTATCAGATACCTGCTGCTCTGAGGTCAGATGCAATCTATCAATCAAGGTCAATTTTGTCCTAACAACTACCTATACTATAGTTGACTTTCTACAATTATCAAGTTACCAGAAATGGCAGATTATATTTTCAGAGAATAGAAATAACCAGGGGTCATGTGTTTCCTCTCACATGTGGAAGCTAGAGGAGGAAAAAGGAAAAGAAAGGTAGTGGTGGGGAATCTCATGAAAATGGAAGGGAGATCAGCAGAAGAGAGGAAAGGGACCAAGGAGAGGGAGGAGAGAGAAAGGGGAAGTACTGGGGAGTGATATTGGCTAAAACATTTCAAAAAGCAAGTCCTCTACAGACATAAAACAACTTTCAAAACAAGATGTACACGATATTGTTAATTAAGTTTAAAGAAGCAACCATGTGACAGTTAATAACATTAATGACTATATAAGAGAATGTGTGGAATTCTCAATTAGACCCACTACTCTTTTCCTTTGGACTGTATACAAATATCGTTTTATTACTTAAAATATAAAACAATAAAAGCATTCCTCAAGTAATTTGAGTTCCTGTGTTTATAAGCTGATGTTTATTAATTCAACATCTCCCAAGTACTCTAATTAAAAATATTTTTAGTAAAAGAAAAAGGCTTTTTGGAATTTCAAAAATTAGTTTCAAAAAACATTCAAAATGCAATTCAATTTACCCCTTCTTTGGAGCATCTCCTGGAGTTCTTCGAAGCCTGCCAATTGTCTCCAAACTTTTGAGTGTTTTCCTGCTGGGTGGCTTTGTTGTTTGTACATTTACTGTGCTTAATTCAACTTTCATATCCTTAATAATGTCTAACAAGCCTTTTTTCGTATTCTCCTTTATTCTGCCTTGGTTCTCTGAGGTCTTCTCAGGACTTGCAACAGTTGGAACACACTGCTCATCTTTCTTGCTATAAGTCACAGTGCTAGTGCCAAAATATCTTGGAATATTATTTTTTGTCCTGTAAAGACATATTAAAGAAAAAGTGAAAAATATAATGTAAAATAATTAATAACTCAAAACATTCCTTCTGCATTTAAAATGATTTTCAATTCAAGCCTTTTCCATTTGCTTTTTTAAATTATTACTAACAATTATAACAGTAGCAATTTACCATGTATTAGCAATTACTATGTACCTAGCCTCATGCAACATAATTTAAACATTTTCCTATATCCACATCAACACCGTATGGTAGGCATAGTTCCTGTCTTGCAGATAAGGAAACAAAGTCAGAAGTAATTTACCCAAGATCATGTAGCTGACAGATTACTAAAGTCTAAGTCTACACAGATGGGCCACAAATGGATACAGGTATGCTGAGGTAATACTGATTACCTGGTTCTTGGGGTGGCTGGATGACACCAGGACTGTTGGTGTTCCCAAGTCTGTTGTTTCCTTTCCCTCCATTTACCCCAGGATGGGTTTTATTCATTTGCTGCTAAGGATCAAACCCAGGGCTTTACACACTAGCAATGAATCACAACCCCAGCTCTCAGATATTTTCTGTGGGTTCCATAATATTAAAAAGAGTTGGGAAACACTGACATGGTTAATAAATGATTATTATTCTCAAATCCAAAATCTCTATGAAGAAAGGTTACTCACAAAAGTCCCTGTGTGCTATTTTGACCAACTTTCTTGAGAGACATACCATTTAATCAATCACTACTTGTAATGTTAAAAGGAAAATTTCTTAGACAATTCAATTTAGTAGAAGACAGGCACAGTGACATATGCCTATAATCCCAACCACTCAGAAGGCTGAGGAAGGAGGATCACCAAGTTTGAGGCCAGTCTCAGCAACTCAGCAAGGCCCTGTTTCAAGGACTAGAAATGTAGATCAGAGTTCAATCTACATTCAATTGGGTTCAATCCCTGGTACAAAAAAAATTAATTAATTAATTAATTAATTTAGTAGAGTCTGAGCAAAGTAGAATATGATCAAATCAATCTGCAAATTGGGCAGCTCCTGGCACCAGAGCAGATCCTGAAAACTCCCACCAAGAAGGTGACCAGAGAGCATTTATAGAAAAATTGAAGAGAAGAATATAAAACAACTTAATTGGTTAGAGCTTAGTCAATCAGTCAGTCAAGTGGTTATAGCTTAATTAGTTTTTACAGCTTAATTACTTAATTGGCTTCAGGCCTCCTGCAAACAACCAAAGCTATGAATTGGTTCTATATTGATTTAATCTATTGGGCCAAGGGCAGGTGTGCAATACAAATTCACGACCCCCTGCAAATATTATTTAACAGCAAGTTAAGCAAATGTGGAAAAGAGGAAGGGGGTTGTGGCTCAGTGGTAGAGTGCCTGCCTAGCACACGTGAGGCACTGGGTTCGATCTCCAGCACATTAAAAAAAAAAAAAAAAATACACACACACACACACACACACACAAAATAAAGGTATTTTTAAAACAAGTGGAAAAGAGAATATTCAGTGATTACAGCTGTCCTGCTCTGTTCAAGAGGTACACTTATGAAAAAGAACACATGTGATTACATAGAAGATTTTCCTTTTAAATAACGCAAATGTCTAAATTTATTCTGGCAGGTCAAATATCTCTTTGGTATTTGATATTGAAGAATTTTAAAAACTAATGAACATGTTAGTCTGAGTAAGCAGGTATAATGTATAAAAAATTATTCATTAGCTGGGTGCTGTGGTGCATGTCTGTAATCCCAGTGGCTTCAGAGACCGAGACAGAAAAATTGAGAATTCAAAGCCAGCCTTGGCAACAGCAAGGCACTAAGCAACCCATTGAGACCCTATCTCTAAATAAAATAATAAAAAGGGCTGGGCATGTGGCTCAGTGGTCGAGTGCCCCTGAGTTCAATCCCTGCTAATAAAACAAAACAACCACCACCACCAGATTCCTAAGATTCTTAGTTTGTAAGTTTGGAATGGGCTCAGGGATTTGTATATTAACTAAGACCCCAGGTGATTCTGATGCAGTCTGATCCCTGCATTAGACTCTCGGTTAAATAATATTAAATTCTCAAAGCTAACAAATAGTGGTGCTAGGACAGTGACACTTTAATATAAGGAGCAATTTTCAAAAATGCTGAAACTATTTGTTGTGATTATGAAAATGTCAGAGGCTATCACATCAGGCACTTGAAAACTGGAATGAAAAACAAACTGCACAACCGGTATCTTAATCTTAATCAATACACAGGACTCTAATATATTGGACAATTCAAAATAAGGAAATACTGCAAATATTTTTTTTTATCAGAAAGTTAGTATTAAAGGTATTTTAACAGAAAGATGGCAATGAAGAGGATGAATTTCACATATAATCTTTTTACAATGTTTTCTTTCCACACTGCTAGAGTATCTAAGAAAATAATCTATAATTATTAAAGGAATATCATATAAATTCCATAACACTAACTTCCCACCTGTTGTTTCTACTGAGAACATCTCATCAGCACTTCAAATGCAACATACCCAAAACCACCTTCAATAAACAGCTCTTCCCTCAGACTGACTTCCTATTTTATACCCTCTGGATTGATGGGCTTCCTACCATAAAAAGTTTTGTGTTCTAAAAACTCTGACATGTTTAAACTCTTTCTCACAACTCTTTCTCATTCTCTTGTTAACACTTGATGATACTTTAATCCTCTAAGGCAATCAGCTGAAACCTTTTGCTCTCTGACCACTCTACCATTATCTCATTATGTCACATCCTATTAATTCTACCTCTGGGGTTTCCTTCTCCATCCAGCTGATCCTTCCCATTCCTCTGCCAGAAACTTGCTTCATCACTGCATTAAACCAAACTGGTCCCAAACAGTTTTGCGTGGACGTATGCAGTGGAATTAGGTTTTCACAACCAAGCATACCAAAACAAGCATGCCACAACTCCTTTACCTTCTCTGGTTCACATCAACCAGTCGTCCTCCTTCAGATTTTACCTGGCTTCTCTTCCAGAAAGGATACCCTAAATCTCTCCTCCAAGGTTTAGGTGTCCCTATTTGCTCTCCCAGCAATTACTTATTGGATGAATACAGCACACTGGGCGCACCTAAACTGCTATAGCAGTTACTTTGTTATACTTGAATCACCTACTTGGTAAACCTATGCAGTCGGGAATGGCCCAACTGTCTTGTTCCAGGCTTAACACCAGTAATGACACACTGTAAGTACTTCCAATAATAAACTAAATAAATGAAGGGGAAGGGATGAGACCATAAAAAAAAAAAAAAGGCTGGGGGACAAAATAACTTCGCCTCTCTGTAGGACGATTAGACAGCTTTTAGACTCTGCGGGTTATAACCTCGACCCCAGAGAGCCGGGAACAACAAATGAATGCACCGGAGGGGTGCGGGGCCAGTAGCTCTGAAATGCAGTACCTGACCGTTCGGAGCGGAGCACCAAGCAGCACGATTGCAGCCACCGACGCTTCCGGAGTTCCAGAGGGACAAGAGAGGCGGGTGAAGGGGCGAACAGGTAGAAACGACGACATCATAGGGAACATGGCCGAGAAACTAAGTAAGAAGACAGCCAGAGTAGCGCGTCCTTTTTCCAAAAACGTCCCCTAAACTAGCTTCCGTTCCATTTCCTTCGTGTTCCGGTAGGAAACAGAGGCGGGTCACTGTGGTTCCGCTTTCAATCGTGGCCTCCTGGAACCCGCAGACTCCCAAACTAGACTACAAACTAGGCTCCCAGCCATTTACACTGGAGTCAAGCTCGAGTGCAGCGAGGGTGCGCTGTGTGAGGCGGACCTGGACCCGACAGCCGAGAGTGGAGGGAGTAATCAGTTAAACAAAATTGGGGATTGGGTTTGTAGCTCAGTGGTAGAGCACTTACCTAGAATGTGTGAGGCACTGGGTTCGATTCTCAGCACCGCATATAAATAAATATTGTCCATTGACAACTAAGGAAATATTATATTTTAAAAAATTGCTGATGACTCCAGTAAGAGAAGGCCCAGAACTTTGCATTGTCTTAGGGGAAAGTTGTTACTCTTCTCAGAACCATCTGCAACCCCCAAAGAGGTTTTAAAAAATTACCATAAGGCATGCTGTCTGATATACTGTTCCCCCCCACACACTCTTTATTCTTAATATAGCCTCAGAACTTGAGAAATAGGTTTCATTTTTTTCAGAAATGGATTTAAATATCAAAAAATGCAAGAGAAAGATGTGAAAGGATGACAACTTGTGTATGTCCTCCACTACCTCCAGACATTTACAAAAGATCACTCTGTTATAAGTATCCCAGACTATACCTTAACATAGATACCTTCTACACCAACATCTTATGTCATCTTGTACAGAGTAGTTATTAATATCTGAAGGTAATTCACATATTTATGTGCTTAAGGGCTTATTGTATATATTTCCCTGACAGAATGTGTACTCCATAAAGACATAGGCTTTGACTTATTGTTATTGCATTAAACCATTGATGAGTCCATAGCAGAATGTTGCTACAATTCTAGTTTCTAGAACCATACATAGCATACTAAAGTACATACTAGAGTGGATTCTAGAGTACAAAGGAAGAAATAGATACGGAGAAAACAAGTAATCCGCCCAATTTCATACATCTAATATAGGCAGATTCAAATGCAGAACCCTCTAACTTTGACATTCTTGTTCATTCTGGAATCTTTGAGGGCCTTTGACTTTAGGCATACATAAAGTTGGGCGCGGGGGTGGGGGGTTGTATTAACACACATTACCGAGTAGCTTAGACATTCTACTTAATAGATCTGAATCTAAGAATCTAAAAAACACTTCAGATGATCCTGATGCAGTGAGTTCCCAGCCAAAACTTTGAAAAGCCTTGGCCCTGTGGCTTATTTAGCTTATTCATAACTCTGTCTACCCTTAGAATACACATAAGAAAAATTGGGATAGAGCTTTTGCACAGTGGTAGAGCACTTACCTTTCCTAGAATGGGTGAAACCCTGGATTTGATAGCTAGCACAGAAAAAAAGAAAGAAAGAAAAAGCTACAGAAAGAAATAAAAAAAATCAATATAAATGATATCATATTAGAAGTATTAACCTGGAATAACATGGATGAATCTCAAAGGCATTATGTTCAGTAAAAGGACCCAGATTCAAGAAGAGCATGCCCTGTATTATTCCACTTATGTAACATCCTGAAGAAGCTGGAGCTACAGGGACAGATCAGATTAGTGTTTACCAGGGGATGGGGAGGTAAGGAGGAGATTGACAATGAAGGGGCATGAGGGGATTTTGGGGGGGGTTACTGAAATACTCTCTCCCGATTCTAGTGGTGGATATAAGTCCTTTCATGCTTATTAAGACTCTGAGATATGGACACCTAAAAAGTATGAATCTTGCTGTATATAAATTTTATCTCAAAAAACCTGACTGTAATAAGAAAGACAACTAATGGGATAATTCTGATTATCCACAAATTAAACCATAAAGAGAACTTCAATAAATTCCAATAATTCCTTAAAATCCATCCTTTGAAAATCTGTAACTAGCACAGCTGTTCGTTCACAGCAATCATTTATAAGTGACAGAACTCAAGCCTGAAAAGTCAAAGTGTTTTTCCTCCTCCCTCTTTCATTTTGGTTTTGCTTACCATTTTACCCCTTGAAATATGTTTTCTAAAAACAATGCATCTTTGGCAAGAGGCAGCAAATCAACAGAAATCAGTCCTGATATGGATCAGTGGCTTTGTCCTAGATGCCTTGTGAATTTTATATTAATCAATTCAACAAACCTGCCATGAAAAAGAAAAAATCAAAATCATCCTATATTCCAGTGGTAGATGCTGTGTAATAAGCTACCCTAAAATTCAGTGACTTAAAACAACTACTCTCTCTCATCGTTCTTAGGTTGACTTGGCTGAGCTGGGGGGTTCCAGCTTGGGGTCTTCCATATGATGGTAGTCACGTAGCAGGTAGTCTGGACTGGATATCCCAGATGGTTTCTTCACCCACACATATGATGTTTCCGCTGGAATAGCTGAAAGAAACAGGCTGGCTAGGCATCTCTACCAGCCCCCATGGTTTCTCTGGGGCTTCCTCATTGAGCTGCTGGCTTGCTCAAAGTGAGCTTTCCAAAAGGCCCTGGCTAAAGATGCATGGCATTTTTAGTGAGGGGGCCAGCCCAGATTGAAATCAATTGTATTGCATTCGTCTTGGAGTATCAGCAGGAGAGGCTCATTAGGGACAATTTTGCAGACTAGCTACCTAATCCTAAGAGACTCCTTTTTATTATTCCTAGAAGACTTTTACTTTATTTATTTTTGAGGCACAAATAGAATTTATTTCAATGTATAGGTACTTACCAAATGAAACAAGAAGCTTACACACTTATATCAAATGTTTCATCCCAAACAGCACATTATAATAATGCTCTAAGACATAAAAAATTAACTTAATTCATAGTATTATTGTCAAATAGATTCAACAGAAACTTGAAAGCACATAATCGCTGAGTATTTCAAACTCTACTGACTTTAAGTAATTGATATGGAAGTATTTTGGTGAAATGCCCACAGGCAGAACAGTTTAAAAAGCAGCCCTGAGTTGGGCATGGTGGCACATACCTGTAATCCCAGCCTTTCAGGAAGCTGAGACAGGAGGATTGCAAGTTCAAGGCCAGCCTCAGCAATTTAGCAAGACCCTGCCTCAAAATAAAAAAAATAAAAAGAGCTGGGGATATGGCTCAGCGGTTAAGTGTCCCTGGGTTCAATCCCCGGTACCAAAACAGACAAACGAACAAAAAATCCAAACAAACAAACAACAACAACAAACGCAGCCCCTGTTTCCTACAGAAATTGTGACAGTGACCACTTATCACATTCTCTGCAATATTTCAAAGCACTTCCACATTCGGCAGAGCAATACCCTGGACACCAGTTTATTTCACATTAGTGAACAAATCCAAGACTTTTGTAAAAAGTCTTGACTTTGGGCCAGAAGATAAAATATTCCATATATGGAATACCCAACACACACACACACACACACACCAACGCCTAGTATATTAAATTTCTACTTCTAAAAATAGCTTTTTGACTTGTTTTCAGAGAGGAAAAAGTATACAATTCACTTTATTTGTGCTTTTAATTAATGAACAATATACATTGAGAAAAAAAGCTAATGGTACATATCTACTTAGGTTATGTATATGATATTGGGTGTTCATGAGAATCAGTGTAACTGAACCTTATCTTAGAGCAACATAATTTTCTAAAGTTACCTAGAAAATGTATTCAACCTTTTACAAAATCAAAACATCTAATATGCATTTTATAAGACCATAGTCTCATGCCGTGCTCAGTGGCACACACCTGTAATCCCAGCAGCTTGGGAGGCTGATGCAGGACTATTTCAAGTTCAAAGCCAGCCTCAGCAATTTAGTGAGGACCTAAGCAACTTATCAAGACCCTGTCTTTAAATAAAATATAAAAAGGGCTGGGAATGAAGCTCAGTGGTTGAGCACTCCTGGGTTCATGCCCTGGTACCAAAAAAATTTATTTACTTGCCTGTTCTTCTACAAAATAGGTATACATTAAAAATATTGCTCAAAAAGTAAAAATATATATTATTTCTTTTCTTTGCTATATATACAGTTTCCTGAAAATGCATCATCTTTCAATAAACAAATGCAAAAACTGCCTTATATAGTTCTCTGCTATTCATTATTATAAAATACAAAATTATTACAATATAATTAATTAGCTCCTAATTCAAGGGGCTGGGGTTGTAGCTCAGCGTAGGAGCACTTACTTGCCTTGCGTGAGTGAGGCACTGCATTTGATTCTCAGTACCACATAAAAATAAGTAAATAAAGGTATTAAGTCCATCTACAACTAAAAATTTAAAAAGAGCTAAATTCAAGAGATTTGTAAACCAATATAGCAGCAAACAGTCCCCTGTACAAAAGTCTATTAAGAAAAAGTCAATTTTGTTACAGATTACATAAAAATGCCAGTCAATAAATGCAGTATAAATGCAAAAAAGAGCGTTGCTTCATCAGCATGTTCTTCAGTCTTGTTTGAACTAGATGCTAAACTTACTGTTCACTTTTTGGTTCATCTTGTTTTACATTAAGCTCTTGATCAACTTGTTTCATGTATTCTGGTAAGCCAGCATATTCCATGGGAACAAGTTCTGCTAAATTAAAGACATAGGTATGATGATTAGGGATTTTAGTTTTTTTCCATGAGTTTTTATCAATTTGCTGATAGCATTTTATAAGCCATCCCAGACTGGGCATTTTTCTTTGAGTTGTTGCACCATTTAAATAAACTATCATGTGGTTTATTACTTGCTCCAAAGTGCCAATAACATACTTAAAGAGACTGTCCATCCGGTATAGTTAGATTGATCACTTTCAGATATAAAACAGACAACAAACCCAACGGCATTTTATCGATCCCTGTAATATCTTCCATAGCTGATAACTTTTTTATAGGGTTCAGTTGCCTTCACGTCAACCCCCTGGTGCTGTTCTAAAATCCTGAACATATGCCAGCATCAAACACCTTCTGTTTCCTGTGCTGCTGTATACTCAGG